CACCAACACAGTAGGATTAAATTCGATCTGGGCCTTCTGGCTCCGGAGCCAATCTTCTCCCAAGATTGCCTCTGTACACAGGTCAGGGGTTACGTAAAAATTTTGGGTGCTTTTCACCCTCCCAATCCTCACCGGGAGCCTCACCATCCCTTTTTATCTCCAGGGGGGGCCCATCTGCTTGCGTGATCTCTATGTCCGCTTCCCGTAACCTTCTCTTCCGTTTCACCCCGCCTGTATGTTTTCCTCTCTCATCAATGACACAGATGCTCCTGTGTCCACCAAAGCCCTCATCTCTCTACCACCTATCTCTGCTCTACAGGATAGCTCCCTCTCTTGCGTTAGCGAAGAGAACACTTGAGCTTTCTTCTTCCTGGGTCCCCACCTTTGGGTTAACCCAGCCATAGGCGCCGGTAGTAATAAATCACCTTCATTTTTCTCATGAGGTGGAGTTCTGCGCCCCCTGCACCTGGGCGACCCCGGCCGGACCTCTCCCGGTCTCCCATGGCCGTTTCTAAGAATACAGTTTCTTTTCAGGTGTCCTGGCCTCCTGCAAAACCAGCACCTCCTTGTTGGACAGCTTGCCGCAAAGTGGCCCGCCCGACCACATGTCCAACATTTTGCTCTTTCCCTTTTTAACTGGGTTGGCCTTGTGTCTATCCTCGAGCCACCCTCCCTCTTAATTCTGGGGTGGCCCGCTGGCTTTTCTTGGGCTCGGCCTTCTTTGTTAATATTGGTGGGGCACCCTTCCTCAGCCCTCACCACTTGGCCAGGTGTCCTTTCTTACCACACCTGGTGCACCTGTCACGATCGAAGTCTGGGGCAACCCCCACTTCGTCGGACATTCCGCCGCCCTGTGGTCCTCGTACCCACAGGTCCAGCAGACCAGCCCGTACCGACCCGGCGTGGGCTTATAAAAGCCATGCCTGGTCGACCATGCCCCTTCTATTGGGGTCCTCCTCCCATAATTCTGCCCGATCCACCTCTTCCTTAACCCTCTGATTCCACACGGGGGTTCTTCCGCCTACCCCCCTTCTTCCAGCCTCCTGACTTGGTATCTGCTTCTTTCCACACCTCTTCACTTTATCCCACACCCCCTGGCTCTCCCTGGCCAGCTCTATCGCTGCCGACAGTCTGAGCGGTCCTTCTTTCCATACGTCGTGACGAACACGCTCGTCGCTCAGCGCCTCTACATACAGGTCCGCCAGTTGAGCCTGCATAACCGCATTATCCCTGACCACTTCGGGGAATGCCAACGACGATAGCTTCCCCGCTCGGGCCCCTAATTCTCCCGGGGTTTCATCCCGTAGCTGTGTCAGTTTTAAAAGGGCCCTCATGGCCTCTATGGCCGTACCTTCGTCGGCGAATTCTTTGGTTAGCAGTCTTTTATTTCTTCCCAAGACAAGCAGGGGTTGGTTTTCCAAGAGCCCCCCTCACGAACTCAGACGCTTTTTCCCTTTGTGGCATCGTATGCCAAATACAGGGTTTCTTGGTCCGAAAGCTCGTAGATGGTTCGGCTCTTCTCGAGGATTGCCAGCCAGTTTTTAAACTCCTTCCCGCTGCCATCAAATACTGGGACCCTCGGTCCACCTAACAGCTTCCTTAAATCCACTGACAACCCCCCGCCTTACTTCCTCTTCACCCCCCCACTGCTCTATCCGAATCATAGTCAGACATGTCTACAGAGAAAGACAGTCTATGCAGCAACAATCGAGGTTGGGAAATAAAATAAGGTGTCCTACCTTACAGACGATTCTGTTCTTTCTTTTCCTTTGGTCCCGGTCGTTCTGAGTTCTGTCTGAATTTTCAGCAACGGCGGTCGATCGTGGTCTTCTCAGGGTTGAAATCCCTCGGTCACTGCACCACTTGTGACGTGGTTGTCTCAGGGTTGATCCGTTGGTCACGGCACCACATGTGACGGTTACACACCTGGCCCAGGGTCGAATCCCTTGGTTACGGCGCCAACTGTGACGTCGCTCCTCCTGGTCGCTCCTCCTGGGTCCTGGTCGCTCCTCCTGGTTCCAAGCGTGCCGCTCCAACCCCTTGGTTAGATGATCACCAGCCTCGCCTTTCCCAACTCGCTTCCAATACCTGGTTACTGAAGCAACTGTACTGATCTCCGGTCTGTCTACCCACGTTGTGTTTAGATCTTAGACAGACGGGACCAGCAGGGATTGGGGCCGATACAAGTTGAGTCCGACGGGGTGGCAAAACACAAATAAAAGAAAAAAAAAACTCACGAGAAAAAAGATTGCTGATAAAAAAAAGGGTAACAACCTTTTATATCTAATGTCCGTTACATAAAAACAAAATTGTTCTCATTTCCCGACCCGCTCTGTGAACTATGGGCAAGCTTCTATCACACAACCTAAAGATTTCGAATTGCCTACTCTTTAGAATTGTGTATGTCGGAGTGTGGTTTAGCTTGACACTGGGGCTAATTTCTATCGATCATTCGCAGTTGATTCTTCTTCGTCGACTTAGGCTGGAAGTTCTCTTGTCTTCGACTTGGGTGGAAAGATTCTCTTGTCCTCGACTTGGGTGGAAGGATTTCTTGCCGCAACTCAGCCGCAACTCTCTGTCGTCCGAGGTGATCTCTTCTCGCTGCCGTCCGGGGCTGAACTCTTCTCGCTGCCGTCCGGGGCTGAACTCTTCTCGCTGCCGTCCGGGGCTGAACTCTGCCGTAACTCTGCCACAACTCTTGCTGCCTGTCTGGCCTGCAATTCTTCTTCTTCGACTTGGCTGCAACTTCTCTGAGGCTTGCGAGCAATCTTCTTCTTCTTCGATTTGGGCTGGAAGGATTTCTTGTCTGAGGATTCTCTTGCCCGCAAAGGGGCGAGTGAATCGGGCCTGATGGCCGCGTTCAGGCTCTATCCCTACCCGCGGTCCAGCTGCAACTCTGCCGAAACTCTCAACTCAACTGATTTCTGTCGACTGGGGTCCTGCTTTTTTTATTGACGCCGCAGCAAACCGGGGTGGGTCTGTTGGCGTCAGGGGTTTCTCGATAATTCCAATAGCCGCATTAATTCTGTTTCCCCATTATCGCTATTGTTTTCACCCCTACTTCCTCACAGTGCCTTTGGTGGGGAGGCGTACACCCATCTCTCCCGGTTTCTCGTATGTCAGGTGACCGTTTTTTGACCAATGGTTCCTGATCGAGCATTCTTCCTCTTCTTTCCGCATATCACGTGACCGCTTTCGGCTAATGAGATTGTGGTTGGGCGCCTCCCATCTCAAATCGGGCGTGGCTTACATCGTTCTTGTTTTAAAAAAACAAAATCTAATTTTACCCTTTTTGCACGTACGAAAAATGACAATCTGGGCTTTTTCTCACCTGGGCTCTGTCAAAACAGCCTGCCGCTAATTAGATGTGACTTCAGGAAAGAATATTGGCGCCATCTGTGAGCTGAGACAATCGTTTTTTTCACCTCTTGTTTTTGTCAGACCCGACAGTCAGAAAATCTTAATTATCTACATTGAAAATGTCCCCACTTTATTATCGTGGGTTTCCAATTCTTAATAGGTCAGAATCTGTATACCGTTCCACCGGTCACTCCCCTCAACCCAAAAAGACTTTTTTCTCTGATTAAAAAATTTCGTTTCTATTGTTCTAAAAAAAATTCCCCTTTCTCCAATTTGACAATGAGTCTTTCCACGCAAAAGTAGGCTAGGTGCTTTGACCGATATTCTTATCAATCGTTCTTTTTCTCCCTCTAAATGATTTTTCATTTCAAATAACAATTCTCTATTGTCTTTTAAAATTCGGCCAACACGCAGGCCAAGATATCTTTCTGACACCTATCTTCGCTTATGACCGGGTCATGCATCATCCATCTCTCTTTCCTTTTTTTTTTCTTTCTTCCTCTTTTCTTTCCCCTTCCTTCTTCTTTCCTTAGGATCGTCTAAGTACAACTCTAGTGAATTATTTTCAACTCAATTATTTTCCGTTTAAAAAAAAAAATCAACAACCTGTTTAATAAACCGAGTAAAAAAAAAATTAAATCATATTTCTATGAATATTTCTAATAATGCAAGGTGCCACATATGAAATAAATTTGACAAGCATAAATTTGATTTTGCTCAGATTTGCTCAGTGAATGTTAGGAAGGTTGTTTAGTATTATTGTTTACTAGTGGAGTTGATGGAGTGCCGCCGTCTTCGTCCAGGGTGGGTCTCAATTCGGTGCTCCCTTCCACAACCAGTAGACAACAAACCGTGATGGATAAAATACGAAATGTTTAGAAATCCAAATACTTCTCGCGATTATTGACGCGATATTATTGGAAATACAAATATAAATACAAGTAATTTTATTACAGATTACAAAAATACAAATACTTCTGAAACGAGGCAAAAACCGAAATCTTTTTCACACAAATACAAAAGCTCTGAAAAGGTACTTAAATACAATTCAAATACATTTTTATTTGATCTGCAACTACCAACAAGAATTGTGCATTGACAAAAGTTGAATTACATGTCAAGACTAGAGCAATTCATTTCATTTATTTGAATTCATAAAGCCGCGACGTATGACCAGGCTCATTGATCAAAAATCTGTCAACGCCATCCACATTTATTCATCCAAATTCCTCATTTTCGATGCAGAATAGGTCCTAGGAGATTCAAAAAGATTGCTTTCGGGTTCCTTTGTGATATGCGTTTTTAGAAACCGGACATCTTCCCAGTCATTGTTGCAGCATTGTCGTATGTCTGTCTACGACGGTCGTTCAAATCATGACCATTTCTTTCCAATTTTGAGTTAATTTCTTCTGTAACACTTTCGGCAGCTTTTTCATGAATTTTAATAAAATCAATGACTCCTTCCTTGACTACAACAATTTTAAATTCGTTGTTAACATCGACAAACCTGATAATTTCAGGCATTTTTTCGTTGTGAGAAACATCAAGTATTGTGTCGGACATAATCCCATAGTATATATATTTTTTTGACTTTCCGTAGGATAGGATTACGTACTTCGTCGCCCAGAAGCTCAATGAACTCAGTCCGTACCTTGCCAGACAAAGACTTGACATAATCGATGCGACTTGACATAATCCAAGTGACGCTGCAACAAAGGATCGTACTTGCTAAGTAGTTTAACGGGTGAAAGAACATTACCGGGATTATTACCGGGATTATTACTTGATGCAATGACGTCTCGGTGTCCACGAAATGCCAGATGTTCAGTCGCCAAAAAGTTGATACAGTCCACAAAACGCATTAGCAGACCCTTCTACAAGTGCTTCTGTTCCTCTAGATGCTTCAATATTACTCTGTCAATCGTAGACCCTTCTGATATGCGTCTCTCAAATTCTTTCCCTGCAAGAACACAAGAGTAGAAATAACGAAGGTATATTACACGAAATGATAATACAAGATATGGAAGATGTTAGTATGACTATCAGTCTGGTTTGGAGTGAACTACTATCGGCTCAACTCGATTCAACCCTCTCTCTTGAGAGGCGTAGAATACATAGTGTTAGGAAGAGTTCATTCTGTAGTTATACGTAAGGACACATGACAGTAAAGACGAAGGTTCTATCCGTTACGAAAGATCCATTATCTTTATTAAGAATTAGCAGCATGGCCCGGCGTTGCCCGTGCTTGATTCAAAAGTCGTACGACTCATACAGCAATCGCTATCACTTCACTTAAAATATTTTTGCTCTTCCTTGCCTTTAAAGGAGTGCCCTTTGCCATGCTGATGTTGCTACATGCCTTACTTCTTGCCTATTTCACACTGTGAATTTTTTCTAAGCTCTATACTAAACATTAAATCTGTTACGAAAAAAGAACTAAACAAAATGAACACAAAACGATCAGCTTTAAAAAACGACTCGTAACTGGAAAAACCGAAAAAAAAAAGAATGTTAACAAATACTTTTTCACACGGAATCAGAATCAACGTTGAGTTAAAGCAATCGAATGAGCCAATTGGAGTAAAGTGCCATGCAGATTTAAATTTTTTCCCACTTGTGACGAATGCAGTTATCGATTTTTTTTTGCATGCTAGCATGCTAGTTAACATTCGCGGCAGCCAGCTGTTGGCTCTCACACTGGCCAGTAGAAAATGGCCGCAAACTACATGAAAACTACCGTAGAAGCATGAAAAAATCGATTATTTCCACTATCGATGGGAGTTTGGAAATGCAAAGTCGGTGTTGGCCTTCCCGCTAACTTGGAGCATGTGCATGTAAATTTTGGTGCAAATCCATCGAAAATTGCGGCCGTGCATTCGTTACACACACACACACACACACACACACACACACACACACACACACACACACACACACACACACACACACACACATCCTGCCTTTTATAGATAGAGATTTCGATTGCTCAAACCGGTAGAGTTCAATAGCATTGTTAACAAATCAAGAAGAAAACAGAAATAACTATCCAGTCTCGTGTATCCACTAATTATAAAGTTTATATTAACAAGAATTATATTAACAAGAATTCGCATTAATTGTACTTTTCTTTCATACACTAGAATGTTCTAACGATGATGAAAGTAATCACTGAAATATTAATGAAACCAAAAATAAATACTGATCACTTACAAACATGTTTTCAATAAAAACATAAATTTTCAATAAAAATAAATTACAAGAATATATCCAGTAAAAATAATGATCGTTTACAAGCATGTTTTCAAAAGTTACCTATATGCATTATGTTTTAAAGTTGTTCGATGGATAATCTATTTTTTACATTGTTGTTATATCGTTTCAGGAGATCCAACCATTCCAAAGCAAATCCCCAAATTCCAGTCCAGGGTGGAAATCAATCAACCGGACCAAGGTTTCAGTACAGGCGTTAAAGAATACTATGACAGTAAACACAAACGAAGTGCTATCTTCATCACGCAAATGGGAAAAACCGAAATAATTATTCACGATCATTTGAATGGAGAAATTCTTGATATTAAAGGTACGAATAAAGTGATGACTAACAAGTTTAGATATCTGGGATTTAGAACAAAGAATTCTCCCAAGAGAACTTTGGGAACTTAAAATTTTAGTAGTCGATCACAAATATAACTGTTCTGATATATATATATATATATATATATATATATATATATATATATATATATATATAATCATATATTGGATCTGCATAACCTACAACTCTCTTGTGAACTACCATATGCATCCTCAGTTCGGATGATGATCTGAAAACATTGTTGCAAACAACACAGGTATGGTCGGCAGGACGACAAGGCAAGTTGACATAGTTGGTTTGCTTCTGGTTGTTATAATGACGTTATATATATATATATATATATATATATATATATATATATATATATATATATATATATATATATATATGTATGTATGTATGTATGTATGTATGTATCAGCGTTGGGGACATACCTATCAACACTGCATGCGTTTGGTCATTGATGACTATATTCACATTGTTTATCGTTATATACGCTCTGTCCTTGATATTGAGCCCTTTTAAGTATAACATGACTTAATAACTATATTTTTATCAGACACGCACACACACACACACACACAAACAACACACACAAAGACACACACACAGACACACATACACACACACACACACACATACACACACACACACACATATATATATATATATATATATATATATATATATATATATATATATATAAACCTTCTTTTATTTGGTACCTACGATTGTGACGGAAACACCAATACAAGCATTTCAGAGTGCTTGGATGTCAATCTGAATGTAGTGCAGAGGATTCGGTAAGAGTTGGATGAGTCTAGTCGTGATTACGAAGGTACAGCAGTTTGGAAAATTCACTCTGATTGTTCTGATAAGAAAAGAATTCCAGAATTTGTAGGTGAGGGACTCAGACTCAACGCGAACACCTAAATCAAGTTCCTTGAGGAGGTAGTGTTGGCCTGGGTCAAGAGGATGGCCGTTTGAAAACCTTATGTCTAGCAACAGGACTCTGCACCATGCCACACAATCAGGAGAACTCAGTCATGTCTCTCAGACAATTTCTGAAACCACATTACCCCTTATATCTGGCCACCTAACTCCCCACACTGCAACCCCCTTGATTATTATGTGTGGGGCGCAGTTGATTGGGAGACCAATAAAACTCCTTGTAACATCAAAGATGAACTGAAGGGAGGAATTATGGTAACTTTAATCAACTTTAAAAAGGAGAGCACCCGGAAGAGTGCAGAAAATTCCGAAGTCATCTGGAAGCCATTGTTGAAGCCAATGGGAATTTCATTGAATACATTTCCTCTTTAATATTTCAAAATAGTTTTGTGTCATTTTGGTAAATATATTTGTTAAAATAAGATATAAGTGTTATTTTCATTTTTGACAATATCTGTGTTGTTTGCAACAAGAAGGTACATGCTGGTATATAGGAGAGTTGTAGTGCAGGCATATCATTTCAACCCAATCAAAGATACAGGGTATATATATATCTGTGATATAGGCATGATAATTATTAAATCGAATGCTGGTTTCAAGTATCATCTCAGGAGCTTATTGTTATTGATACTGAAACGAGAAGGAAGCCATTACAAGGTATCCGTAAGTTTATATATATATATATATATATATATATATATATATATATATATATATATATATATATATATATATATATATATATATTCGTGTATAAAATAAATATAATCTAAGCTCTACTTCTGTATGGAGCACTGTTTTAAAAAAAAATACGAAAGAACCCTGGATTATTTACCTAACGTGTTCTTTCCTATTTTTCTACATACCTGCACACACACATATATATATTCATACATGTTTCATTAAATAATATAGACAAGTGTTGTCTATTTATTTTATGTAAATTCTTTTCATAACGTCTGATAAGCTTAATAACATTATCATTAAACGAAGAAAGAATATTACAATATTGATCCATATTTTTTAATCCAATCTAAACTTTCGGCTTACATAAGCCATTATCAAAGATGTCATTTACTGTAGAATATATTAAGCAATATACGGACAAGACAGTGATGATAGTCTGTTATTGTTTACATAGATGATTTCCAAGCAACGATAAACACGTGCATATATATATATATATATATATATATATATATATATATATATAGTTGCTTCCCCGCTTTTAAAGTTACATTGTTATACAGCCGTCTCACAATCTTCAAGCGGTTCAAAGTCAAAATACTCAATTCTATATTCAAGTGGCCTTTAATGTAGCTTGTGGCATATGTTGAGCAACGTAGAGAGCGGGTAGAGATGGATTGAAAAGTGGTCGTTACTAATATGGAAACATTATCATTTCACCTCAAACAGGAAGACGCAAGGGGTTACTGAGTGTTAGAAAATATGAGAAAAACACTATTAAATAGGTAGCTCCAATAATTTTCTAAAAAAGAGCACACTATGATGAAAAGAGGCAACACACTTGATAATTAATAATACTTTAAATCAGCTAATATTTCTCAAATAAAGTTTCAGAAAAGTATATTTTATCTTTGGAAGATTTTTTAATAAAGAGAAATGCATTGCAATGAAAGATGACTAAAAAAAGAGCGGTAATCAGCTATTTTATAAAAAAACTTCTTCAAGTCAATTAAAATTAGTTTTAAATTAGTTTTTGAAATATAGCATTCTTATTATTTGAAATATTAAATTTAATTTATTAGCTTGAAATTAAAAGTAAAATAAAAGCTTCAAAAAGAATTTTCACTTTTTAAAATTAATTTGAAACCTTTTTTGAGATACCTACTATTAAAGAGAAAAACAATAAGAGAACATAATTTAAGAAGACAGAAGACTCTCTCTCTCTCTCTCTCTCTCTCTCTGTGTGTGTGTGTGTGTGAGTGTGTGTGTGTGAGTGTGTGTGTACAAAATGAGAGATTCTTTTTAAAAAGTTTAATATATTTTGCACCAGGTGTTATATTAATCGAGAAGGTTACGTGCTAATTTATTGTTCCCAGGGTTTGATCATTTTTTTTACATGAGGGGACATTTTAGTATTTATTTTTAAAACTATTTAAATGCTAATTATTTCTTGGTTCTTTTAAATTTCTTAACATTTTATTACCTTCTTAAACAAGAGCCTGAATGAAGCCTTCCCATCTATATTTTTCAAATTGTAAACCCTCTAAAGGCTTTCAGTTCCGATTAACGTTCTCATTAAATGAAACCAGATAATGTAAAAAATATCTTTATTATTTTTTTCTTTATTTCAGAAACTTTTCATAACAAATATCCGGTCTATAGTTGCAAAGTTAAAAAATACGGACAAGATTTTTTACTCACAAGTTTTATTAATCCTTCCTGGTTATTGAGAGAAACCACAAAGACGAAAGAGGTGAAATATATTTGGAGCATTCTTTGTTTCTTTCCAAAGTATTGAATGTCTATGTTATTTTCCGAAGTATTGAATGTCTATGTTATTTTCCGGAGTATTGAATGTCTATGTTATTTTCCGAAGTATTGAATGTCTATGTTTCTTTCCGAAGTATTGAATGTTTATGTTATTTTCCGAAGTATTGAATGTCTATGTTATTTTCTGAAGTATTGAATGTTTATGTTATTTTCCGAAGTATTGAATGTCTATGTTATTTTCCGAAGTATTGAATGTCTATGTTTCTTTCCGAAGTATTGAATGTTTATGTTATTTTCCGAAGTATTGAATGTTTATGTTATTTTCCGAAGTATTGAATGTCTATCTTTCAAGCATAAACATATAATAAAACTACCAGTAAAGCTTATTCATATGAAGTTGTTTTGTTGAATGGAAGCTACCCTCAATACTATTATGATTTCATCTTCTGCCAATTTTTATAGGTTGAGGACCAGGGTTTTTTTCATAAGTTAGCCGTTGAGTGACATATGTAATGCTCAATTTGTTAATACAAGGAGACATATATATTTTCATATTGGAAAACTGTGCAGTGACATAATCCGCTGAAACTCTACTTAAGATAGGCTTATGTGCAAAGTTTTCTCAGTAGTCGACGTGCAAGTTCTCAACACAAGTATACTTTTATCTTACATGAGATCCTCAAATGTTCTTTGTACAAGAATCATTTTATCTTACATAAGTGCTGTATAAGTTTTTAGCAAATTCTTCTTTATATCTTACATAAATACACCATAAGGTCTTAGCAAAGACTCCCATGCATTTTAGATAATTACCTTATAATTTCATAGTAAAGGCTTCTTTATATCTTACATAAGTGCATCGTAAGATCTTAACAAAGGCTTCTTTATATCTTACATAAGTGCATCATAAGATCTTAGCAAAGGCTTGTTTATATCTTACATAAGTGCATCATAAGATCTTAGCAAAAGCTTGTTTATATCTTACATAAGTGCATCATAAGATCTTAGCAAAGGCTTCTTTATATCTTACATAAGTGCATCATAAGATCTTAGCAAAGGCTTCTTTATATCTTACATAAGTGCCTCATAGGATCTTAGCAAAGGCTTCTTTATATCTTACATAAGTGCATCATAAGATCTTAGCAAAGGCTTCTTTATATTTTATGTAAGTACGTAAGTTCTTAACAAATGCTACCTCATAATTTATTAGCCAATTCTTCTTTATATCTTACTGAAATACATCATAAGATATTAGCAAAGCCTACATCGTGACTTAGGTAATTACCTCATAAGTTCTTCGCAAAAGCTTCTTTATATTTTACATAAGTACATCCTAAGTTCTTGGCACAGACTTCCTTATATATTATATGTGTCTCATAAGTTCACAAGCTAATGGAGAACATCATTATGAGTAGGTCACCTTGAAAAATGTATTACTCACATGACGTATTGCGAGAAGAACTGGGAGGATGGTAAATAGTTAAACATTACCTAGAGCTATAAGCAACTGGAAGTTAGGGAGAGCCATGATCGACCACACCCTGAATTATTATTATTGTTATTTTAACACATAAACTGGGAAGTATGAACACGATGTTTTACTAATATCAAAATCATCATCGGATGAATTTAAAAACACAACAAATATAGGGTGACCCCCCAAAATGGGAACTTTTTAACAATCCAATAAAACCAAGAGTGATGGAAGAATATTTTATTCATAGTAACTGAAACCTTAAATCATGCCATTTAAGAAACAATGATGAAATTTTCATTTTTTAAAAATTACGTCCTGTAGATGGCGTCCTCCTGTACGAATGCATTCTTGAAATCTTCTGTTGAGATTCCTCATTGACTGCTGCAACATCTCATCTGGGATACTGTGAATGTCATCTTGAATTCTAAATGGCGAAATGTTTACTTGCTCAAGGTCACTGTCTCGCAGTGTTGCCACTTGCTCATGTCTGGCAATACGTTTTTTTGGGTCACCCTGTATATCTTTCTCAATATAATTTCCTTCTTTGTCAATGCTCTTAATTCAGTGCAATCACCAAAGATCGAAAAAGATTCGGAAAAAAATTAACATCACAATTCACCTGATAATTATGTGTTAGGCTCTGGACTCGTATATGTTACACTGATTTAATCATTTATACGTTTAAGATGTATAATTGTTAATTTAACATGAATTTATTAAATCATATGAATGTATAATTATATTTAACCTTATTGTATGTTACAGTGATATTATAGAAATCAGTTTTGAATGATTTGAGATTTACGCTATTTTAAATGGATTGAAGGAATAGTTAGATAGTAATAAACTATTTTTGTTGGAATATACTACACTTCAGCTTAGTACCCCCAATCTATTAGACATTTTCCTATTTTTGCTTATTTTCAGACTTATGTGCCGGCTGCTCCACCGATTCGAGGAATCCCAGTTAATCATTGGAAAGCTGATATAGCGCTTAATGGTGGAAACATTACAGTTCATTATTTCTATTCAGGTTAGTACGCCCATAGAGTTGGAATTTCTAAAACGCATTACGAGAAGGTCACCTTGAAAAATGTAATACTTACATGACATATTGCGAGAAGGACGGCGAAAGGAAGGACGGCGAAAGGAAGGACGGCGAGAAGAAGGACGGCAAGAGGAAGGACGGCAGGAGGAAGGACGGTGGGAGGAAGGACGGCGAGAGGAAGGACGGTGGAAGGAAGGACGGCGAGAGGAAGGACGGTGGGAAGAAGGACGGCGGGAGGAAGGACGGTGGGAGGGAGGACGTTGGAAGGAAGGAAGGACGGCGAAAGGAAGGACGGCGAGAGGAAGGACGGCGAAAGGAAGGACGGCGAGAGGAAGGACGGCGAGAGGAAGGACGACGAGAGGAAGGACGGCGGGGGGAAGGACGGTGGGAGGAAGTACGACGAGAGGAAGGACGGCGAGAGGAAGGACGACAGGAGGAAGGACGACAGGAGGAAGGACGGTGGGAGGAAGGACGGTGAGAGGAAGGACGGTGGGAGGGAGGGCGTCGAGAGGAAGGACGGTGGGAGGGAGGACGGCGAGAGGAAGGACGGTGGGAACCTTATGTGATGGGTTTGTGTGAATGGATAATACAGCAAAAGCTGGGAGGATGGTAAATAGTTAAACATTACCTAGAGCTATAAGGAACTGGAAGTTAGGGAGAGCCATGGTCAACCACATCCAGAAGGGTTTCGGTGCACAAATGATTATTATTATTATTGTTATTTTAACACATAAACTATAAAACAATGGGATGAAACATGGACTCGAAATTTACTAATATCAAAATCATCATCAGATAAATAAAAAAAAATGCTAAACGACTCGAATACTAAAGATAGGTTTCAAAATAAAGAAGAAATAATTCCTAATTATAATCAGTCAGTTATGTGCCAAGCGTGCTACACGCATAGGCAATCATATTTTGATACATGACTGACAAAGTAGATTTTTTTCCCGCAGTGGGTTGCCATTTCTTTCCGTTGTAGATCACTTGCCACCCAAGGCTATAGAACACGGCCTGTCCTGCTGTTTACCCATAGCTGGAGCGAGAAGAAGAGGATTCACACCTTTCCCAAGGGCATTAGCACGTAAGTGAATGTAATGGATTCGACTAGAATTCGAACTCGGCTCTCCGATTCCTCAATCCAAACTGCTATCCGTTACCGTGTCTCCCAATTATAAGAATGTGAAAAATATAAAAAAAAATAGAGGAGGAAGAACGGGAGGAAGTCCAGGAGTATATCTACTAACGACAGGTGATAACATTAAAGAAAGACGATGAAAAAACAAAATGAAAGGAAGGCGACAATGCTACTATAAGCCAAGGGGTTATTGGGAGTGAAAGTGAATGAGAATGAGTAAATTGAAAGTGAGGAGGATTGAGAAAAGGACCGAAAGGAACAAGGTCCAAGAAGATGGCGATTGACGTTGCATTTACATTTTTGAAGATTGTAGTTATCGGGGAAGAAAGAAATCGGAAGGGAGTTCTATAGGTGGGAAATGCGAGAAAAAACTGTTAGAGTAGAAATGACGGTTGCATCTAGATAGTTCAACAGTAAAACGATGAGACCTAGTAGCTAATCTAGTAGCATGCTTAAGTTCGTGTAGTCAGAGCACCAGGGGAAAAAAAAGCTCGTCCGAGCAGTTACTATGAAAACATGTGTAAACAGGAAGAGGGAAGTCACGTCATGGCGTTGAGAAAGTGACTGGTGACAAGATGCCTGGTAAGGTTCGATTTTATTGCATACGTTTCTGTGGATTTTGTCAAGAATCTCGAGATGTGTAGCAGAAGCACCAGACCAGATATGACAATAATGTTTAATACACGAATGAATGACGGATATATCAATGCGCAAGATGGGTTATGACGCGATGTTTTGGCACGACACAATAAACTAAACTTCATTGCAGCAGACGTAGCAATTGACTCAATATAGCCGCTCCTCTTCATGTCAGTGGAAAACGTGAAGCCAAGAAGTCGTCGAGTGTTTTTCTCCTGGAGCTCAGCATCAGCCATCATGATGGTAGGCAGAAAACGTTTTCCGTGGTAATGCTTAAACCGCAAAGTGTGCAGTCGATGTTCAATACTATCTACAATCGATGAGAAGCATGCAAATTAGCAAAATCGCCTGAAAAACAAATTAAGAAACGGTCAAAAAACGATAAAGGTAATACTATGAATAACACACCACGTGACTTTAATCTTCAAAAACGCAATGTCAATCGCTATCTACTGTTCCCCTGATTACTCTTTTCTCTTCCCGCTCATTATTAATGTTTCTGTTTCTAATTCTCCATGCCCTGTAAACCATTGTATCTCAGTGGCTTTAGTACCTTGAATGGGGTGATACCGATTAAAAAAATAAATCAATTTCAAAGGTTTAATGAACGATATATGTGTTATTTTCCCCACTGGTATTTCGCGAGGCAGTTTCACATGATGCAATCAAACCCAGAACATCGTTCTGGTTGATGAACTGGTTTGGGTGTTTTTTTTAAACTGAACATCTTCCCGGAATTTTACCCGACCAAAATAAGTGGTAATCTGAAAGTTCAACCTTAGGTGATCACAGCGGTTATAATAGGACATTTGAGCCAAGATGTACCAATTTCTACCGAGTTTGCAAAAAAACAAAACAAAACAAAAAAAAAACCCAAAAAAACCCCCCAAAAAACCAAAAAAAAAAAAACACAAAAAAACGTGTTGTCCTAATTTAAGACGAGTGGCCGATCTTTTAATCGGTTCAACTTCGAACGTTACTGAATTCAACGTCTTATTTAGCGGAAGGTGTTCGTATTACACGCTGCTCTTTCCAATTCCATAAAGATACAGAGAAATACCTTCTCTAGGTCATGAATTTTTCCTCCATGGCCTTTTTTCATTTCATATTGTTGTAACCGAGCCATCTTTCATCGTATGTTTTCAAAATATGGGTCTATTTTCTTCCTTTAAGCAGAGAGTCGCAGATGGAAAGGAGGCCCGTTGTTTTTTTTTGCCTTTAAATCATAAGACTTCCAAGCATATTTGCCATCGATATCCCCAACTGTTTTCAAATGCCTTAAAACGCTCATATAAGATCTGTAGAGTATCTCTACGATGCTCCGTGTCACGTGACTGGGATTATTTTCAAGCAGCTTTTCGATTTGGTCACCATCAGCGACAAAATCAGCCGGTACGCTCTTCCAAATCAAAGTTTCCCCTTTTGAACTTAGCGAACCAAGTACGAACAATATGTCCTTTATCGAAACTATCTCCATCTTTACTGATTGTACAGCGTTTTTGTTCTCCATTCCGGGAATAAAAGAATATCAAATAATGAAAATGTAGCTCATTTTCCCCCGTTTTTGCTTTTAACATAAAACAGTCGAAATTTACAATCCACACACGTTGCCCTAATACCAGGCATCTGCCTACTGAAACAAATCCTCTTCTCGGAGCTTGCATCTGGCACGGGACCATGTGGAGCTCCACGCTATCAATTCAAGGATAAGCTCAAAAACACCTCGCTGAGGACAAAAATCTATCCGGTCAATTGGGAGAGCTGCAGAAAGAGCCAATCGGAGAAGAGCAGTCCGCGAAAAAAATATCATCCTTCGAAAACACTAGAAGACAAATAGAAGAGAGGAAAAGAGACCATCAGATGGAGAGCCAGAGCTCTCCATCCGCTGAACCCTACCACCCTATCATGCGGTGGCCGCGGATGCCTCTTCAGATCTAACATAAGACTAATTTCACGCAGAAGGAAATGTCGATTAGCACCCTAATACTCCACATCGAATTCCGCCAACGACAACGATACGAGTATAAAAAGTGTCTTTTCTTAGCATACACTTTCTTTTCTTTCTTTCCCCTTTCTTCCCTCGTTCTACGTTTTACTTTCTTTCTTTTTATTTAGTTTATTTCCTTCTCTCTCACTTCCTCTCTCTCTATCTCTTTTTATAGTTCTATTTACAATTGTTTTCTCTCTCACAGAACCGTCCTGGGAAAACAAATACCAATTATATCAGGTTCCGGTTCAAGTGAAAATAACCGGTTCTTTCAACATCGTTTATGATTATTATGATTTTTTGAACGACATTCCGGACGAAAGTGTTTTTCAAGTAAGTTCTAAAAGTACGATTCTTTCCATTTCTTATTTTTTATAATGAAATCTTAAAAGGAACATATTGGACAAAATATAAATGTTAGCTGCATTTCTTAGACGATGTGTTCTCATTAATCCACGCATTTTCTCGTGCGCTCACAATTCTATGATCCTTTGATCTATGAATTGTACTTCTTAAGCCAGTGTTTCTCAACCATTTTAAGCAACGGCACACCTAGGGGCAAATGAAAATATCACTGCACAATTAGCAAAGTTTTCGAAGGTATACATTTAAATGTTATGAAATACAACCATAGATTTAAAAGAAATAAGAAAGAAAGTTAATATAAAAAGATAAAAATACTTTTTACAAAATGAATATTAATACAAAGTACTTAAAATAGCATAATCTAAGAATAGTGAAAAGAAATATTTTTTCATCTATTTAAATACTAACTACTTCAACACACATATATATATGTATTTATTCAAATGCTAACTACTTAAAACACACACACACACACACACACACACACACACACACACACACACATATATATATATATATATATATATATATATATATATATATATAAAGAAATATAGTCTTAAGGTGTGCTATATTTATGGGATAAAGTGCTCAATATCAGAGATAGAGCGTGTGTAAATATAAAAGTGAACATAGAAGTCAACACTTAGAGGCGACAGTCTGTTTCATGCTATATGCAATCGTCAGGCCACATTTATATATATATATATATATATATATATATATATGTGTGTGTGTGTGTGTGTGTGTGTAGTTATTCAAATACTAACTACTTCCACAGACACAAACATTTATTTGCACACACACACATATATATGTATGCCGTGATAATATTTTGTGGTATACGCAATCACTGAAAATCACTGCCATAGGGACCAGAAACTTAGTGCATGTAACTCAAGTTTTAGTTTGATTCGATTTGTTTTGTGACATATCAAACATTTCTAGATTGTTTCATGCCAAATACTACAATTTTCATTAATTCTAGTAAGGGGTACGCCGGCTCGGTTTTGCTTTGGTTCGGTTTGTTTTACGGCATATCAACCTCAATGGGTTATTTAATACCGACAAGATTTTGATTACTGGTAATTTTCTTTTCAAAAGTGTATTGCTGGTAATTTTTTTTCAAAAATGTATTGCTGGTAATAATATATTGCCAGTAATAATTTTTCTTCAAAAATTCATTTCTGGTAATAATTTTTTATAAAGTATTTCTGGTATTAAATATTTCATAGTGTTTTGATCTCAGTCTGGGGGTTAACTATTTACCCATAGCTGGAACCCTGACAGGTGCTACCACCCCGGTTCAGGGTGGACCTGGGAACATCGGCAATTAAGAGGTGGTTCCACGCCCCTCAAAACCTCCTGATCAGAGGCCTTGCTGTTGGATGTAGTTTATCGTCATACCCAGGACGGACATCGGC